TTTCTTCTTGGTTGATGGCTTGGCTATTTTTCTTTGTAATTTAAGAACCTCATAGGCTTGGTAACAGCCGTAGTTTTGCCCAGCTGAGTTTAATTAATGATTTCCTTCAAGTTATTTGGCTTTCAGGGGAGTGAAAACCAGAACAACCTGTGGCTCTGCAGGACCTGGAGTTGGTTTCCAGGACCATGTTACTGTTCAGGAATAAAAATGGGACTCGTACCATTTGCTCACAGTGGGTTAAGCAGCAATTTATAAAAATCAACAGTACTGATCCAAAGACATTTTAAACACCTGAATTGGGAGTCAATATTATAGCAGTTTCCACCTTCATATCTGACTTCAGCTTTAATAATTAACTGTGTATTTACCTATAATAAAATTACTTAAAAGTTATGTTTTGATCCATTACTGACATAAGAACAGTTTCAAATCAAGTTTCCTTTGGTTACCCCTTTGTGTTTGTTCCCCATGCAACTTCCTTTTGGATTTTCTATGCTCCCCACACATCACAGTGATGAAGCCAATTCATAGAGGGGGATTATTAGGAGGCCATGATTGGTAAGGGCCAATGGGAAATTTGGCCAGGACGCCAGGGTTACACCCCTACTCTTTTTGAGAAACGCCCTGGGATTTTTCATGATCACAGAGTCAGTACCTTTGTTTTACATTTCATCTGAAGGATGGCATCTTTTTACAGTATCTTGTCCCTGTCACTATACTGGGGCATTAGGACCCACATAGACCGCAGCGTGAGTGCTCACTACTGGCCCCATTAACACCTCTTCCACCAGCAACCTTAGTTTTTCCCCGGAGGTCTCCTGTCCAGATACTGACCAGTCTCACACCTGCTGAGTTGTGATTTGTAGGGTGATATACCGTAGCTACTGGCAACCTAGTTACTAAAGTGGTCACTATCCCTGTCACTCACTCAAACCAAAATAAATTCTTTCCCTTCTTCCCTTCTCAATGTAACACCCACTTAACCTTGATCTTGTTCAGAATCTCACTGACAGTTTTTTTTTGTGGTTCACTGTGGCAACTGACAACAACTTGAGAAAAAAAATCAAAATAGTTCAACTCTGAAGTAAAATAAAAATATCTTTGAAGTGCCTTAGCTCAAAGTTAATATTGGCCATTTTCTTACAAAACTGAAAAAGAGGTATTTCTGCCCCAGAGATCTTCCTTCTAAGGATCTTCTTAGGATTCATCCTACCTTGTAATCAAGATTTACAGAAAAAGCTTTTTTATACTCATACTTTAGCTCTTAGGCTATAAGAGAGTATTGAAAATGTGCATTGGATTCTGGGTTTGAAAGGAACCAGTTCCCTTGGTTTTTCAATCATTCAGCTTTGCAAACAGTTAAATTGAACAAACTGGTTCTTTGTCTATTGGAATGAATGGTGCTAAAGCCCAGCCCCTTGTTGTAAGGTGTTCTAGGATTAGATAATAGATGTGGGTTTCAGGAATTCCCAAAGGGGGGAGATTAGTTTGGGAGGAAAGCTAGAAGTGGTGATATATTTTTTTTTAAATCAGTGGTTTTTAATATGTATGTGTTTATTAAGTGAATATGAAACCATGACTATAAATAAGGAAGAAAGATCAAAATAATAGAAATGCACTGAAGAATGATTTAGCTACAGCGCAGAAAGATTTAGATTTTTTAATATATCGTAATCCTGGTCAGCAAACTTTGATAGAAACAATGCAAGATTATTTTTAAATACTGCAAAAAGATCAAATACATGCTTAATGCTCAAGACTCAATGTATTTCTAGGTAACCACTATGGAGAGATTTAGTACTTGTGGCATCAGACAGACGTCTGCACAAAACACAAATAACTAAATGGAAACAAAACAAATGACACAGCTAAGTAATTCCTTCCCTAATGTTTTTCCTTTCATCCACTTATGAAAATTAAAGCTGGTGCACTGCAGTCACGCCTTCCACCAGCTACAGGAGGTTAGGTGTAGCCCAGAGACCAGCTTCAGTGTGACACAAAATAAACCCAAAACAGCAAAACAAATTCTCAAGTTACATAAAACAGGAAATGAGCAACGTGAATGATGCAGTGCCATTTGTGTCTTTTCTTAAATAAAATGTGAGTTTTTTTTAAAAGTTGCATAATGTAGAGTGACTATTAAGAAACATTCTGCTCACTATTTTTTATGCGTTTTGTACCCAAAAGCATCTGTAAAGATGAGTATTGTTTATTTGTATATCGGAAGAGACACAGAAGATGTGATTTTGAGGTGTTATGACTAGTGCATCCTGACCAGGGTGTAGTCATGCCAAACCCACGTTTCCAGGATAGGACCCCTTGTTATTGGAAACCATTAACTTCTGCCAGAAATAAAGGTTGGATGGAAGACCAGTGCTTCATGAAAAATATATACAGCACATAAAATGCAGAAAACAATGTACAGTAGCTGCATATAGTTACAAGGTGTAAAGGTCTGTATGTTAGAGTTACTAAAATATCAGTGCACACCTCCATTATGATTTAGCAATGCTGAAACCCACAGTAATAAGACGGCAGGTGCTCAGAAATCCCTTAAAACACAGCTTTCCAGTGGATATCTTCTCCTGGCAATCAGATGAACACAGGATCACAGCTTTAACATTCAGAATAACCACTTCCAGCAGTGTGACCCAGGGGACCTTGGCACATGAACTCCTTCACAAACTGATGGAACTGAAAGGTCTAGGAGCAGTACCTGGCATTTGTAAGAGCTTAAAAAATATTCTGAAATCACATAACTGTCACGAGTGTCGGAAAGGACGAACCGTGGAATGGCAGGATAGCGAAAAATAGACCCTATGCGTGGCGGCGAGACGGGGGCTAGCCCGGCTCAGCTGTTCAGGAAATGCCGTATAGAAACCTATGCCCTCAGGCCAAGGACAGGAGTGACCTGGTGCTAGGCAGGTCTCAGGACATCTAAACCTCAATGCTGAGCGAGGAGTAGAGCAAAAGCACGAATAGGCTACACAAGACAGACCAGAAACACATGAATAATCACAGGGAACTAGGAACAGGAGAGAAGTAGAGCGCCCTCTGGGTGTACTGGGCGTGATAATAACAATGACTTCTGTAGAAATGGGTTTACTTCAAAGTGGCAAGATAAAGACAGCCCTTAGATACAACAAATGTGACAGGCATCACGGGGCAGACAAACAGACATGCACACACTCACACCTAGGGCCAACTAACCTCAAACTATGTTTTTGGACTGTGGGAGGAAACAAGAGCACCTACTGTATACAAAACCCACACAAACTGCACTCGGATAGCATCACATGTCTGGAACTGAACCAGGGGCCCTATTGCTGCAAGGCAGCAGTACTAACCATTGCGTCACCACTACAATTAAATAATTAGCAGACCAGTGAACGATTTGTTGCCCATAGTCTGAACTGCAGCTCTAGCGGCCAACCGCAGAAGTGGCAGTCTTTGTGTCACTGTAGATCCTCAATTATCAATTCATTAGTTTTAATTATCAGTTACTATAAATATTATAAATAACGTGTTTTCTGTCAATTGTATGTGACATATGAATTGAGACAAAACTGTCCGTATTTTTCTTGAAGTGATTGAAGGATTACAAAGAGATGCAGCTAATGAAACGGACTACCATATCTCAGAAAACTAATTCTGCTGCAAATAATGACATGACAACGTGGTATCTGATTACGCCTACTGTATATTTACACTGGGGAAAAAGAAAAGGCACTATGCTTATAAGAATATATTGCCACGGACGTCCAAAGGTACTAACCGTGGGGAGCAGGAGAGCGGAAAAAGACCCATATGTGTAGCGGCGAGACGGGAAAAAGGCCTGGGTTCATAGTGCAAAGAGTTCAGGAATGCCGAATAGAAACCTATGCCCTCAGGGAGCGGACGTGGGGCGCCCTGGTGCTAGGTGGGTCTCAGGACATCCGAACGTCAATGCTGAGCGAGGACAGAGTGCAAAACCCAGAAATATATAGCCCAAGGGAAAGAGAGGGACAGGAAGGACAGCAGACTGGAAACTAGGGACAGGACAGAGAAGGAGCGCCCTCTGGCTGTAGAGGGCGTGACATATATGGGACATAGCAACTCACGAGTTAGCTTTATTATTTAATCCATATTGCTTTCCAACAGCCTCAGGAATATTTCGCATTCCACAAAACCGACGCTAAAAATATCCGCAACAGCATTGCTTCGCTCTACTAAGCATTTCGGCCAGTGTTGTGAGGCTTTCTGTTGGGCAAAACCTGAAACTCACTTAGATGAGAAAATCCCCTTCTGACCTTCATGATTTCCAGCAAAGCCAAGCCATTTTTTATCGGTTCGGTATACCTGAATGACAATTAGACTGAAAATTATACATCGCCACAAGACTGTGACACAATTTACCGCATAAGGATTCGTTCCATTATTAGTCAGTACTAGGAAGTGAATCATTGATTCCCCCCCTATAAACGAGTATGGCTTATAGACACATTTTATTCAGTAGGTTGTGTTTTACAGGTAAAATAAAAGCACTTTTTGTAGTTCTAGTATTGTTCTAGAACAATTTCTTTCATTTTAGTCATTTTTAGAATAGAGTGTCAGCTAAATCTAATTGCATGTTCGATCATTATCAGTACTCCTGAACACATACTGTACAGTACAATATGTGACATTAAGTAACCGATCAAATATTAATTTGCCACGGGAAATCTAATGTACGGTCTCATACATGAGAAGGTAATTCAACATTGATACAGTAGGTATCCCTTATCCCAATTACATACTGTAGGAAACTCGTCTGGCATCTTAAATGGCGTGTTTGCTTTATAAGTTATAAAATACGAACTAAAGAATAAGGTAGAAAAAACAGAGCTTCCGCAAGTTAAAAGAGCAATTCCACAGCTTGTGCCTCTAACTTCAGGGTGACCTGTTCTGATTGTGGACTGGACTGGATCTGACAAGGTCGTTGTTATTACTACTAACAAAAAGTAACATGTTGTCTGTTGTGCTGCATGAACTGGTTTCACAGGTGGTGAAATCGCCAAAATATCGGGATATCGTGTTCCGTTGGTGTTGCGATTTCAGAAGTATTGTAGGTACTGAACGTATTTTCTTATTTTTTTTTGTCGTCTTTCAAACTATAACATGTATTGAAAAAATATCCATAAGACAAATGGTGGACTGAGACAGAAATGCTATCAAAACGTTTGCGAGGAATGCTTTAAAAAAGTACCATCATTTTAATGCAAGTAGAAGCTGTGTACAATTTTTAATCTTTTTGTTATTCCGTATTTAAGTGATTTGGAAAGTATAATAATCATCATAAAATATTCTATATAATAGGGGAGAGGATTTCGCTATGTCAAGAAATACAGTAGTATTGTTTTTCTATTTTCTAGTTTTTAACTATTTTCTATTATTTAATTCTCACAAAATAAAAAAAAATATATAATCGCAAAAGCTATTTACGGCATACGCATCGTGGGACCGGGTGCAGTTACATAAACGTATTCTTTGCTTTCTTTGAAATACATTTTAAATAAAGTATAGCCGCAATTCGCACTTACTGTAGGAAAGCTCTTTGTTGACAGAAAGTGAACTGAGGCGAATTACTGCCACACTCCGGTGAGTCTAAATAACTGCACGCTTTCCCTGTCAGTTTAAAAATACAGTATACTGTATCAGGTCATTTTTAAACGCAAAGTTGCTTTAAACGCATTGAAAAGAAAAAAAAAACACTTCTGTGTTACACCAAGTCTTTGAGACTTTGATATTCGCAAAGTCATCTAGCAGGTTAATCTAAGTTTTTTACACTGTTATTTTTACTGGGGTTTTTTTCGGTTGATCTTTTTGTGAAAACCAACACAACTGCGGAAATTAATGCAAGTTCCAAATCTGCAATTGTATTTACCGGTTCAAAAGATTTAAAGATTAAGCATGCTTTCTGTGTGTCAAAACGTTATTCACAGGACTCACCAGGAAATTGATGTTCATTTTCCTCTACTTCACAATTCAGTCACCATCATCATTAATCTGGGTAAAAACAGTAATTTCTCCATGACCAACCAAAGAGACACTCAGCTCAAGAGCTCTGCTGACTTTATTTATTGCTGACTGATTTCATCACTGTTTTATCTTAGGATTGTCATTTGAGGATCAGAGTAATTGTTTGTTTTCCAAAATGATTGTCATTGTTAAGCAGATTAGTACAAGGCTGCACACACTGTGTACCGTATAACACAGCTAAATGACAAAAAACAGCACTATTGTTGTTTGGTTTCACAAACTAAAAAGTTTGTTTTAAAAGTGTTGCACCTTTTTTTAACATTCATAGTGTAGAGACCACTATCCACAAGGCCAGGATTTGCAGGCTGCTACGATCTTAGGTCTGGGTAAATTGTATGGCTGTCCAAGATGGTTCAAGTATCTTTGATAAAACAAATCATTATTATTAATGTTTGCTTTTCTCTTTGATTCCACATTGTTTCGTGTTAAGAAAGCTAGCCTTTGGTGACAAAACATCTTTAGAGCCCTCTGAAATGAGCTATTTGTAATCATATTCCTACCTATCAGACTAAATAATCTGGTTTGAGCAATTGTACCCTAACAGAATTAACCTTCATTTTGCTGTGCCATTTGCCTCATTCAAACAAAAAGAATGCTAGAAAGTTTGTTCAACAGTTATTGCTTTCTGAATGGCTCTAGCGTCACTGTCCTTTTCTTTCTTGCAAACAGTGTCCAGTGATGAAGAGCTCAGAGCAGTACCTGACAATGTGGAGCAAAAAGCCTCCCTCTCACTCCATCACTGCCATCATGTTGGCAGATGACCAAGCCACCATTGTAACAGGAAGCCGAGAGGGGCAGATTTGTCTGTGGGACCTCTCCAGTGATTTAAAGGTCTGATTTCTAATAGGAATATTTCATGAAAATGTTTTTTGGAGACCAGAGAAACTGTTTGAGTTTTCAAAAGCGTTTCCCTTTGTAAAAGAGATTAATGTAAGGCAGGGTATGCTTTATGTAATGGTAGCTACTGTATGTGTACAGCCTACTCAAAATAACTGATTTTCTTATTTATTGTACGATATACTATAATTGGATTCAGTGCAAAACATCCAAACTTGTGGTTGCATAAAAGGGGTTGTATAAAACTGAAACAAGACCTCTTCTTCATATCTGGTAGAATCAGTTGGATATTTTAGGATTTAGTGCACAATGTTAGGCTTTGATTTCCTCCCACAGTCCAAAAACATACTGGTAAGTTAATTAGCTTCTGGGAAAATTGGCCCTGGTGTGAGTGTGTGCGTCTGTCTGCCCTTCGATTGTCTGGCATCCCGTCCAGGGTGTATCTTGCCTTGCGCCCATTGCTTGCCGAGTTTCGGGTTCCCCGCAACCCTAAACTGGAAAAGTGGTTAGAAAATTGATGGATTTACAAAGTTTGCAGAATGCAGGGAATAGAAGAAAACCACCTAGCTGAGACCAAGTGTTATTGCTGCATTGGAATGGCAACACAGCACAATAACCATTAGAGGTGATATGTAAAGCCACACGGTTCTTGTCTCATTAATTACAAAAAAGGAAGTTGTAAATTGTGGATCTTCACTTTCTAATTTTCTGCACATTGTTTTGAATTCTCACATTCTAGATTGCAGAATCTGTATTTACAGTGCAGTACATTTTCTGCAGGACTCACCTGTCTCTAAGCAGAGGTTAAACAATGTACTGAGGTGACATGTCTTTTCCTCTCATCATTTGTACTGCAGTGTTAGCAGAGAAGTACAGTAAGTAGCCAGATGAAGATCACTGGATACCAGAAAAATAAAAGGAAAATAATTTCCCTCTTCACATGTTTTTGACTGTAACACCTGTGTGTGAAATGTGCTTGTTCTTTTTTTTACTAGATTTCACCAAAAGCACTTCTTTTTGGTCACACAGCCTCCATCACATGTGTGGCAAAGGCTAGTGAATTCGACAAGAAGCCTTATGTAGTCAGTGCTTCAAACAATGGGTAAGTTAAAGGTGTTTTAAAGCCGTAGCCCTGTATAGTACCGTCACAGTTAAGCTTTTTCCAAGTTTGGAAAGAAATATATTTTCCAGTTGGCCCTAATTCGAGTATGTAGATCTTACTTAAGTATAGTCCACATCCATAGCTATTACTAATTACTATTAATAATAGTATTAGGGTACAGCTATTTCCCAAGAAAGGAAGTGCATTTCATTCTGTGAAAGATAAAACATGTAATATAAGCAATTGGTGGTGCAGTGGTGTGCATTGCTTTTTCAAGTCACTGGAGTCCTGGGTTCAGTTCCTGGGGTGCTATCCCAGTTTGTATGTGTTCTCATGGGTTTGCACCAGGTGCTCCGGTTTCCTTCCACAGTCCAAAGATATACTGTACTGATTTTAGGTTAATTAGCCTCTGGGAAAACTGACTTTACTGCTGTAAGTGTGTGCGTGTTTGTGTTTGCGTGTACCCTGCAATGGACTGGGTGTACCCTGCCTTCCTGTTGCTTGCCAGCAAAGGCTGCGGCTCCCCTGTGACTCTTGGATGAAACAGTAAGAAAATGGATGGAAGGATAAGCAAAAGGTCTTGACATCTGTGTTTCTTTTACACAGGGTACAGAAAACAGGAGCAGTCAGTGGTATCTGTGGTGGAAACTGGTTTTGTTTAAAAGCCGTTCATATTCTTTTGTGAATTTAACTTCTAAACAAAACTTAATTGTTTCATTATTACGTAAGGAGGGGCACTGTTAGGCGCATTGTTTTGCAGCTGACTTCTCTTTGTCAGCACCCCAGGTACTGTATGTTAGAGAAGACGTCCTCTAGGTGGCAGTGTTGGTTCATCTTAATGGCAAAGTGTCCATAGGGATCCAAAAATAGTGGGATGAAGTGCTCACTAGATGCATTATGGGTTCAGGATTGTGTTTACTTTGGAAGAAATGAGTCATTTTCAGAGGACGTCAGTCCAATAAATGATTGCTAGGGTGACACTTTGACTAGCTGTAATGGCAGTATCCTTACAATTTGTTGTAGTCAAAATGTAGGGGAACAACCAGGCCTTAAAGGGAGGTTTTCTGCCAAGCGGCAGGGAGCAATTACCTCCCACAGCAAGAAACAGAAATGTCATTCCTCTCAGCAATGGCCACAGTGCTCTCTAGCCTGACAATTTGTAACAATAAGTCACACAAGTGAACAGGCTGCACTTAAGTAGGCAGTAGCTTGAGTAAACAGGACACCTGAAGGCAGGTTATTATTGCACCCAATCTGATGTGAAATTATAATGAATAGTGCTGTGGTGTCTTTGGCAGGGAGATGAGCCTGTGGAATGTCTACAGTGGGGAGTGTGTTGAAAGCACTCTGCTGCCCTATGTGCACATTGCTATCTGTGTAAGTATTTCTGGGGCTGGATGTGTCTGTAATCTTTTGAAGTGTGCTGTCTTTATGTGCACAGTTCATTAAAACAGACTGGAGACAAGTGTTCAAGAAAGAAAGCTTCACATTTATGTTTCTAACTCCTTGAGAAAGGTAACTGTTATAAACATGCATAAAAAGCTACGTTTTATGCTTCGGGGGCACATACAGTACAGCACTACAGTATGGTTTGCTTTGCTGTTTTACAGAAAGGCACAAAAAACATATCTTTTTGTGTACTGTACATAGCGCAAACAACAGGGCGTAGTGCTATGAAGGGATAAAAAAGACTGGCCTGTAAAATTATTCCAGGAATGAGCATTTGTTCTGTGAAACCATTATATATTAACAGTTTCACTGCTTATTTTTAGACATGTAACATTGAGAGTGCTGTTTTTATCAGATATGTCATTTTTTTCAGGCTTTAGTTCCATAGCTTGTTTTCTAGCTTTGAGGATAGCTCAGACGTGGTCACTTTAAGGCACTGAGGTCAAGAATGAATGACACCTGTTCTTCAATGATAACCTCAGTTTCTTCCAGTACATTGTATTGAGCAGTGCCTGATTGCCTGTTATCGAATATAAATCAAGTACACTGAAGGTGCATATAATCTACTGCTGAAACTGTTTATACACACCTAAGATTTCATTAACTGCTAATATTGCCTAGCAATTTTTCACCACTTACAATCTTTCATCATGTATTGATGTCTAACAGGGCGATGCCCGCGTAAAAAAAATATTTAATTGTCAATCTCAAATGACAAAAAGGGTATAAAATAAGGAGTATGATATAGGTCAAAAGAAGGAATGCTCTAATAATCTGTGTTTTTGGCTTGTATGGGATAGTCAGTGTTGTTTTTTTTTGTATTTTGTTCCTGACATTTTAGTATTACTACTGCTCTTCACGTGTGGCGGGGGATGGGTGGCTCTTGTGCTGTGGAGAGTACCAAGATGTGCTGCTAATTGATGCCCAGACACTGCAAGTTCTTCACAAATTTTTTTCACGTGATTCCTCTGACTGGATCAGCTCACTATGTGTCGCCCACTCACTGAAGACTCAAGGTACCAAAACTAAGGCAAAGAGTATTAAATGGCATATAAAGGATTCATTCTGTAATTGACTCATTGACTCTTTCTTTTGTGTGTGTGTATTCAATAATGCATCAGAAAGTATTCACGTTTGTAAGGAATTTACTTTGGCTAGATGTGCCATTGTATCAGTCGAATATATTTGCTTTTCAAACAGTTGGCTGGAGACTGCTGGAAACATATTCATTTTTTATTTTGTTATAAAGAAATCTTTAATTCTGAGATGATGCATCCCATCAAATAGTGCTGGTATGGTTTAAAGGTAGGTCATTCTTATGAGAGTTACAAATGACTTTACCTTATCAGATCAGGAATATCAATAAAATGACTGCTCAAGCCAACAGCTATACAAATTTGCAAAAGTAAACAGAAAAAGTGTACAGAATGTCAATGG